GTTAAACTGTTGAATGAATGTTCTGATTCTGTATTCCAAGCCAAAACTAAGGACTTTATGGTATTGCTTAATAGTAATAGCAACAAAAGTTACTAATATTTCACATGTTCACTATAGAAACAGGTTAAGAAATTAGATACTTAGGTTAGCATTTTAGTATGAACATGCATTTGACAGAGACATGCAAAGACTGAAGTCTTAACATAAGGGTGTAGTGCAAGTTGTAACTGAATATCCAACAGTAATCCCACACAATTTAGTTTGACAGACTACTTTTCTAGTAAGTTGGATTTCTCTGCATCTTGAAAAAATGTATAATGAGATTATAACTTTCTGCAGTGAGAAGAAGCATTTGGATTCTTAGCAGATGTCAAATTTAGTAACATTTTGAAGTCCGTGACTTGAAACTGCCCTCTACAAAAAATTATGGTATTTGTACCAGGAATGATGCTTTTTTCATTGTCTTTGTTCCACAATCAGTAGTCTTGTTCTGTGAAGTAAATGTATGCTCAGGACAAAGAATTTAAAACTACAATTCAGATTTCTAAATACTATTTCAGGTATCAGATACTGGGTTTAATGTAAAATTCCAGATTCAGAGCTGCTGAAAATAAACATCTTCAACAAGTCTTACAGAGACTTTGTCAGACATGCTGGGGTCAGAACGAGACACATCTTTTAATTCTTTTCAGTTGATGCTGAAAGTGCTTTTGAATATGGAATGTGGGTGTTGGGGGTCAGGGGAAACTGCAGGACTGAAGTACCCTCAAGTGTATGCGTTTGTTATGCTTAAATAGGAATGAATAAAGCGCATAACCAGACTTAATTTTTTCTGTAGTTGTAGTGATGTATCCCAGCACTAAATAATCTAAATTAGTTCTTTCATGTTAACAAATGCTATCACTTCTACTTCAGACTTTTTTGAAGTATTTACTACCATTATATTCAGAAGGCCTAAGTTAGAAAACTTGGGAAAGAAAGAGAAAATACTGAATTACAGTAATAATTTTTAGCTCCCTGTTACTTTGCATTGCATGACATCCCCTTGGTATCTCTGTCCAAGGATTTTCCTTGATGAGAGGGTAGGTATTTTAAGTAAGGAGGAAAATTCGAGAAGTGTTTTGTTTCATAAAGGGTTATGCTGTTTGTATGATGCAACACAGTGAAAGTGTGTCAGGTAGCACCATAAAAAGAGAAGAAAATTAATCTTTACTCCTCCAAAAAGGCTAATGTACATTTGTAACAGTCCAGACTTATGGTGCTAAAGCATTCCTTTGGGGCTTTGCTATCTCTCTCACTAAAGAACAATGATTCTGTAGTTGTTCTGTCAGATTTGGATTTAATTTGCTAAACTTCCACTGACTGAAGTGAAGGCAAGACTTTCATTCACATGTGCACACAGGTACTGTGCCTATCAGTAAACTGGAGGGCATGGTGTAGAGCCATTTTTGCCTTGCAGAGGATGAGTGTACCAACAGACTTCGTCCTTGGGTTGTTTTTTGTTTGGAGTTTTTTTTGAAGATAAAATTAGTAGACAAGAATAATATTTTCAAACTTTGATCTATGTAGAAAATGTTGGTGGTGCCAGCCACAAAATTTAGCTTGATTCCTGGGCTTTTAATTCCCAGACTGGAAGTAAGCATGCAGTCCCTGGACAAGGAAGCTGGAAGTGTGTGTAGTTCTGGGAATGGAATCTTTTAAAACAGATACTGCAGTTGATTGGTATGAAATAAAGTCTTTTCTGTGCATTCAAACTGACTTACAGTTAATAGTCAGCAGTATTGCTCAACTGTTTGAAATTGTGTATGTGTAGAAACAGGACTGTGAATTCTTGAAACACAGATATATAGCATAGATTCAGAAACCTAATCATCATATATAATAACTGAAGCATCATATACTATGGAACACCAGTGCATTCAGAGCTTTGGGTCATTATTAGTGAATCTTTATAACATATCACATTTGCAAGCCATACTTTGCTTTAATACAGGCAGCACTAAAGATAAGAAAGCACATACCCTAATAAGGAGAAACTACACTGGATTTTTAAAACAGCTCAAGATATGTTGGAATGTGGTGCTTAATTGAATAAATGCAAAAATTCCTTTGTTCTTTTATGTTGTTTTATATTAAATTCCTTAAAAATAAATTCTTTCCATTCAAGAACGATAAGAAGTTCCGATAATTATGGCATTACTATAATTTTAGCATGCTGGTTCTCCCTGGTCCCCTTCTCCTGCAAGAACAATGCAAGGATGACAGTGGTGTCATGTCTTCAGACTGTTCTATCCTGAAAGAAGAGGTTTTTCTGTCTTTTTTTTTTTTTTTCTTTTCCAGAACATAAAGCGTTAAACCCTGTAGCATCAGGACAGTTGTGTGGTGAAATACCTTAGCTGTGCAACTCTAGGGATTAGTTTTATTCTTCTGGTTTTGTAGAAATATTTTTATTAAAGTTCTGACATATTTTCCACAATTCAGTATGCTTGGGCTGTTTTCATCTTTGTTCTAACTGCCATCCATTAGAAAATATTTAAGTTGCATTAAAACTCATGATGGATATGGAGCTCTTACGTATTTTTCCTGTCTTGCTTTCTAGTTGAAGAAAGGGTCTTCTCTCTGTTGATCTTCTGTGTTCAGTAAAATTTGAAATTAATATTGATACTTTTTTCTCTGTCTCTGATAAGCCTTTCAGTGTGCAGAATTAGAGTAAGAAACCTTTTCAATTTTTCAATGTGTAGCTGTCACAAGGGAGTTTTCAGTGGGTGGAATTAGACAATTGGATAGATGAATGGAACAGGTTTTTCTAAAGTGCTCACTTCAGCTCTTACAACTTCATTTCACTGAATGAAGTGAATATTAAATAATTAACGAAGCACTTTGAGATCCCTCAGAATGAACTGCACAGCAAGTTAAAAAGCTGACTTTCTGAATTGACCAGTGAATTTAGCGTTATTCATTCTGGGCTACTCAGAATAGTAGCATTTGAAAAATGCAAGATGTGAATCCTGGAAACATAAAATCCTGAAGTTGAACTGTACTATTTAGGAAGTAGTGAAATGATTTCACAGGCCATTTGCTCAATTTAAATCTCTTAGAAACAAGCTTTAATCAAAGGTGATTGTGTTAGGAGGGGGGGTTGCTTTTTCTTTTTATCAGGATGGTTTGGGCATTGCCAGTAATTCAGTAACATTTCTTCTGACTCATAGAATGTGTGATTCCCAACTTATTTTGTAAACCTTTCTGCTCAACAAAAACCTCTGAGGTGCATTTGGAAGTTTGACTTTTATTCTTGGAGCTCTAGTTCATGTAAAAACATGGAGCCACGTGGAGGTGCAGGGGAGAGTCAGCAGAGTTCCTTTGATCACAGTCTTCAAAACTTGTATTTTGATTCAAGAAACAGAAAAGACTGAAGATAAACTGCATTAAAATCATACCAGTACTATGTTAAAGAAGGCTCACAGTATGAGGAAATTGATTCTGGAAACAGAAGGATGCTTTTTTCCCCTCTTGCAGTGTATAATGTAGGAAGAGTTTTGGATTAGAAGAAAAACAGCAGGATCTCAGTTGGGGGAGTGGTGTTAATTTCATTTTAGGAAGATTGATTTGGACTAACTTCTCAGGCTTAAGATGCTTGCAAGCATTTTACATATAATTGCTTTTATTTTGAAACTCTAAAATAAGGGGGAGGCAGGGAGAAGTATCCATTAGATTGTTTGCAGGAACAGCTATGACATGTATAATGTTTTGTAAGTTCATGTGAATTAAAAGTTTCTGTGAGTAATTTGAAAGTATTATTCTGTTAAGTGGCTAATAGTTATTCCAATACTTGATATATTCATTTAGAAAAACATATAAATGTTGTTTCTGACTAGGTGGTACAGTTGTATACAGTCTGCGGAGTATGGTGTTAGATAACACTGTCCCCTTTTTAATGCAGTTTTTAAATGTCAGCTTTTGGTTGCTTAAGATTTTCAGAAAAGGCTAAGATAATTTCTTTTGGGTTTGGGTTGTTTTGGGTTTTTATGGTCTTTCACAATTAGTCTTCATGCATTCTTATGCTGTAGTCTGATATGTTTAAAGCTACAGAGCATTTATATGTTCTTCACTTTGCATTTTTATCATTTTATTTGTGAAGTATTATTTGGGCAAGCTTTGTGTAATTTTTAGATTTGGGTTGGTGAATGTATACTTTGAGTTGAAAAACCTAGATGATTGACACATACTTGAACACTTCTCAATCAGAAGGTCGCTGTTCTGCAGATCTGCATCTTGCACTTGGTACCACGTGTACATGTGCATAGGGAGAACAACTTGGAAACTGGATAGTTGGTAAAGGGGGAAGTTAGTAATTGCCAACATCTGATCTAATGTTTGAATAAACTGCAGGTTTTGCTCTCCAGAGTGTAAATCTGCATGACATGCAAGCATCGATTACCCTTATCTTAAAAACATTGTGTACTCGGTATATAATGTACAATGGTACTGCCATGGTTATTTCTCTCAAAACCTGTAAACAACTACCAATAGTTTTCTTTAATATCTAGTTTTGTCACTAGCACAACAGAAAAACAAACAAACCACAACACATCCACCCACTCCCAAAACTGTGCTTAGCAGAGGTATGTGCGTATTTGTTGGCCAGAATGAATCCAAAAATAACAGGTGAAACATGGACCTATCAGCAAAATGTTGCAAATAGCAAATCCCATTTGAAACATTGCCTTTATCAGGTAGGGATATCAAAACCACAATTTTTAGATCATTGGGAAGAGAACAGAAGAAAAATAGCAGAGGTTTTGGTAGATGAAAGACATTTTCTCTCTCTTTCTCTTGCTCTGTTCTTTGGTTGGATTTTTTTTTTTTTTTCTTGCCATGGCAAAAGGTGAGCTCGAGTAGGGCAGACAGCAGGGTTGGTTTGCTGATTTCTTTGTTTTGTAAAAGATTCCCAAAGTGTGTGGGGGTGTTTTCATCTGGTTTTATACATCCATTTTTAAAAGTTTCAGGGACCCAGGAAGATGATGTTTTATGGATAGCAATGGCAGGCACTCATCAGGTGTGGGCACTGATGTTGGAAGATGGAAAACTACCAAAGGGAAGGTAAGCAGCTGTAAAAAGAGACGTGTGAAATTGGGGTTTGAAAGCTGTTTAGTAAGACAAACAGCAAAGAGAGAGATAATCAAATTAAACTAAAAATAATTTTTCTCAACTGTACTTAGCTTGAAGCTTGCTGCTTCTGTTCAGACTTAAAAGGTGTGTGACCTTTAAAGTCTGCCTGCTTTTTCCCACATCTGTTAGATTAAATGAAAGATGCTACTTTTGCTATAAAACTATGACTTGGTAAGGTACATTCATATAATTGAATGTTATTTTTCATTGCATTTGCTGAATTATCTAGTAATGAATGATATACTAAGGTGAAATAAAAGTTAGCAGAAAGGCACTGAATAATTCCTTGTGCTGCAGTACCATCAGTTTTATAATTCACAAGTACTTGTCCTGTAGCTTCTGCTTATGCGTAATGTCTGAGGTATTTCAGACTCATTCTTGAACTTTTGTTCTTTTTGTACCTTTTTTTTTTCCTTTAGTGATTTAAAGAAAGGAGTCTGCCTTCGATTCGCTGGGAGTGGAAATGAAGAGAACAGGAACAACGCATACCCACATAAGGCAGGCTTTGCGCAGCCTTCAGGGCTCTCTCTGGCTTCCGAGGAACCGTGGAACTGCCTTTTTGTAGCAGATAGTGAAAGCAGCACTGTGCGAACCATCTCTTTGAAAGACGGAGCAGTAAAGCACCTTGTAGGAGGAGAGAGAGATCCATTGGTAATCACTTCAAACTTCCCCACACTGCCCTACTAATATTCCTCAAGCCTGACCTGGAGGAACCACTTTTGGGGTGAGAGGGTAAATCAGTTTCCGTGGCCATCAATTTCTTAACTTCACTGCTTGGAATGCAAATGTGTGCCAGTTGTGATGCTCAGATTGTAGTGGAGATTGCTGCTTCTCAGATAACAAATTACTTATTTTTAAACTAACCATCTGATTCAGCATTGTGTGGTCATTAAAGCCAGCTGGATTCATACTGGTAACTTAAATGTGAGAGTTTCCATTTCCATGGTTAGTATCTACGCTTCCCAGTTTTCAGTATCCTTGTTTTGAAGTTGTCTTGATTTTTTTTTTTTAACTCAGTGAATTTCCATTTAATTACAGTCATTTAAATTCATGTCAACATTGAATAATCAAATGTATTAATTTAATAAAATACTCTTTCAGAATTTGTTTGCCTTTGGTGATGTGGATGGAGCGGGCATCAATGCAAAGTTGCAACATCCCTTAGGAGTGACGTGGGACAAGAAAAGAAAACTGCTCTATGTGGCAGATTCCTATAATCATAAGGTGAGCATATAGTACCTTGTTACATACAGGCTTTGCAGTTTTTACTGCTGCAAAGGATTATTTTAGGAACATCCAGAGACTGTGCTTGGTTCAGTTAAGCTGAGGAAACAAATGATGTGAGTTCCCTTTGTGGGGTCCTTCTTTCTTTCATTCCTTTATGGGTCTTTCTCTTTACAATTGTTTTGCTGTCACATGCTTTTGTGTTGATACGATGGTCCCTTCAGAAGGTGAATTTAAAGTGCCAAGTTACAGTCCAGACTGAAGACCGTTTCCTTATATCTTCCCGAAGATGCTGAACTAGAGCAAAACAACTAGGAGTGCTTAGTCAGGAATACTGCAGGTTTGGTAAAACTATGAGAACAAGAGGACTTACTTTTCCCTTAAAAAAGCCATTCAAGTTTTGAGAAGCATTGTGGGTTGCCTCCATGGAACTCTGAGAAAAGAGGGATTGTTTTCTGTGATTGTTCTTATGTGAATGTTGTAAAGCTTTCGTGTTCAGAAGGTTGGTAACTGTATGTTGATTAAATGCATTAAAAGAAAAGTAATTTGGTTTAATTTGAAAAATAAAGTATATAACACTAAATGCTTATTGAAGTTTATGTGGCAAATTAAATTTTGCTTCAGGTGTTGTATAAAATACAAGCTTTTTTGCTATTACTTTAAGAAAAAAAAAATATCTATTTTTAGGATAAAAATTACATACAAGTTATCCTGCCAGTTTTGTTGCGCACTTACTATTTTGCAGATGTTTCCAGAAAGGCAACAAACATTAGAAAAACAAGCCATTCAGCGCACTTTTATACCAGAGGGGTAGGTGCCTTCAAAATTATGAAAGGGGACACCAAAGGAAGAAGTTAAAGTCCAGCAGAGCATGGCAGGGGTTGGGGAAGATCATAAAATCACAGAATGGTTTATGCTGGAATGGACCTTAAAGATCATCCGGTTCCAAACCCCCCCTGCCACGGTCAGGGACACCTTCCACTAGCCCAGGTTGCCCAAAGCCCTGTCCAGCCTGGCCTTGAACCCTTCCAGGGAGGGGGCAGCCACAACCTCTCTGGGCAAACTGTGCCAGTGTCTCATCACCTTCACAGGGAAGAATTTCCTTACATCTAATCTAAATTTACCTTCTTTCAAATTAAAGGCATTAACCCTTGTCCCTTGTAAAAAGGGGCATGCCTTTGTAAAAAGTCCCTCCCCATCTTTCCTATAGCCTCCCTTATGTACTGGAAGGCCGCTGTAAGGTCTCTGTGGAGCTTTCTCTTCTCCAGGCTGAACAACCCCAACTTTCTCAGCCTGTCCTCATAGGAGAGGTTCTTCAGGCCCCTGATCATCTTTGTGGTCCTCCTCTGGACTTGCTCAAAACAGGTCCACATCCTTATGTTGGGGGCCTCAGAGCTGAACACAGTACTCAGATGGGACATGTTATTTGGTAAAGTATGATAACTTAGCTTCTAGGATACACACTTGGTAGCTAAGGTACTCAGAGTTAGTGCTGGCTTCTGAAACGTGGGGCATAAGATACTGATTATGCAGAACTTCCAAATTGTGGTGAGTTTTTTTCAGATAAGCTTTTTTTGTGTCTTCATTTATCTTAGATTAAAGTTGTAGATCCCAAGATGAAGAACTGTGCTACACTGGCAGGCACAGGAGAAGCAAGTAATGTCATCGGCTCCAGCTTTACACAGTCAACTTTTAATGAACCTGGAGGTTTGTGTGTTGAAGAAAATGGCCGCTTGATGTACGTTGCAGACACAAATAATCATCAGATTAAAGTGCTGGATTTCGAAACAAAAATTCTTTCCATGGCAAGTAATACTTATTAAACAGGCCGATAGTGGTGGTTTTGATATAAATTACTATTACAGAGTTTGGCAAGTAGTATAAAAATCATATAGCTAATAAACTTTTTGGGTACTGTAGCTATATTCACAGAATGTGTTGTGATGATCTGGCAAATAAACATCGCCTGTTAGCACAGTTGTTGAAGGCCTTAGTCTTTTGAAAGGCAACTTTTGCAAGAAAAAGGAAAGTGGTGATCCTCTAGAAAAGAGTAATACAGAAACATGAGTTACTAAAAATACAGCCCAGTTTTTCACTGTGAAAAGTATTTCATGAGCACTTTGTAACAAGTGGAAGTTGAAATTGATTACCAAGTCCTGTAATTGAGCTATAAGAGATGATTTTGGGAAGTCATACATAGCTGGCTTCCAAGTTGTTAAATCAAAACCACTGTTATAATTGAGCACTGCTGTATTTGCTTATAAACATGAAAGCAAAACAAATTCATAGTCCTCTCCATCTTACAATGGCACTATGTCTAAATGTTTTCATACATATATATATATATATATATATATACACACACCTACATATATGACATAATAGTCCAACTGTCATGTTTCTTGCATTTAATAGTACATGATCTTTCTGTATGTTTAAATTTTCATATCATATAACCAGTTAGTAACTTTTCTGTGAAATTATCCTTTACTGTGCAATCTGCATGGTTAAAATCTTGGATTTTATTACTGAAGTGTGCAGTTTACCACCAGCTTAGAAGAAAATATCTTTAAATTTTATTTCAAGTAAAAATATAAAGCAACTGTTAAAATTTTAAATTAAAGGATACTTTAAAGTAGTTGTGGATTTTATTATTTTAATAGTAAATATTCTATTTGGATTAATCACTTTTTCATTTTAGAAAAACATTGTCTTCCCTTTTTCTTTGTTGTTGTAGTGTTGTTGTACTCTGTCAGAAAGATTTAGTCCAATAGACATATTATCGTGTTAGTTTTCCTAGTCCATGTCATCTTTGAAACTGGATTGTATTGTGAAAGCATATTTGCTTTCAGTACAAATAAAAATATTTTGTTTCATTTCTACCAACAGTTGCCTATCCTGAATCCAGAAGAATGTGATGTTACAGATAACCTGCATGTGCAAAAGGATAAAATAAGAAACCTTCCAAAACTGCCTAAATCTGCACCAAATGTCCAACTTCCTTCATTAACTGTAACTCCTGGCCAGACAATTCAGTTTTTATTAAAGTTGACCCTTCCTTCAGATTCAAAACTGAATGACGAAGCACCCAATTCCTGGTTTATCACAGCCGAAGGTAAAGTGCCTGTGTTTTATCTGTTGAACAGGAGTAAGTAAGATACAAAGTAGGTCTTGCCATGATGCACCTGCAATATGAGAGATCTCAGTCTGATGAATCAAAATGTCCCTGTGTTCTCATTTGACCCTGTGATGCAATACATATTATTTAGAGCTGATAACATTTAATAGCTGGAGTATGAAGATTTTTTTTAAAAAACACCTGATAGGTTGCTTTTTGCTTGAATTAATAAATGTGGCATTATTTTTTTCTTTTTAACTTTCCTGGGACAAGCTGCCAGCGAGAGCTTGCAAAAACCCCCTTAGGTGCTTTTCCTCTTCAGTCTGTCCGTTTGAACAGCTTACCACAGCCCTACCATCTGTTTCTGGGAGAAATCTGACCATGAAGCTGAAGCATAATCCTAAAAGCGATTCTTTTTTTTTTTTTTTTTTTTTTTTTTTTTTTTTTTTGTTTGAGGCACATTTATACCTAACTACTTTGAGGCACATTTATACCTAACTACTTTACGTACTTTGTTTTAAAAGCAGTCAACAAATACTGTACAGGCACTGCAATTTGTTTATATGCCTCATGATTTAAAGTAGTTTCTTATTGCAGTTTATCCTTTTGGAATACAAATAGACTATTTCCAGTGAGAGTCAGCACACGTTTTAGCCTACAGAATCTCCAGATATTGTTGAAGTAAAGTAGCTTCAAGGGTTAGTAAAATTGGAGAATATAAGCAACCTAAACTCAGCGATTTTTTTCAAGCTTATAAATTCTAGAGCCAACTTAGGTATTTTCGGAAAAATGCCACTTCATCCATCTCACTTAGAGTAAAATACAGAGTATAATGCAGTCAGCTAGGTACATTTATTGTGCAGTTCATTTTTCAGTTCACATACTCTTAAATATTTAAATAAATGTGAAACTCAAGTTCTGTTGTAACAGTCAGCTTGCACATTGCTAAACTGCAGCAACCCACTTGTAAAACCAACACTTCTGTTTGAAAATGACATCATTTACCTGCAGTTTTACACATTTCTGGCAGATATGTTACCTGGAATATTGGCCTTTGATGCAAATGTATAGCAACCCATTAATTTCAGGAGTTTTGCTTGCATATCTTAGAATAAATTTTAATATCCTCTTGAGTGTATAGGATAAATTGCAGATCCCTTGCATTTAAATAAGATGTACTGTATATATACCTATAGTTCTGAAGCAAAGCTATGGATCTCTCCATCTTTAAATGACTCTTAATGAAGTATTTGTAAGTTACTTTTCTTTCTTTTTTGTCCCTGACTGGAAAAATCAGGAAGGAAATTTCCCCTAATGTTGTGTATGGAAAGTCCATGTTGTCCTATAGGTAAAATTAGTGTTTTCAGTATGCTAATGATCAAACTTCTTGTTCTTCTACAGATAATACCTGGTTGCTTCAAGGACAGTGTCTGTCTGGAGAAATAAAAGAGATTTCCTGTCAAACTATCATTCCCTTTCAGTTACCCAAGAGCTGTCTGTCAGCTGAAGCTATCCTGGCTATCAAAGTGTGCCTCTACTATTGCAGCAAAGGTAGTGGTGCCTGTATGATGAAAGGAATCTCATTCAGTCAGCCTTTACAGATAGCTAGTACAAACCAAGGCAGCTTGACTCAAGTTGAACTGATACATTCATTTTAACCAGCTAACCCAAGCCAGCTAATTTCATACTTTTTTTTACTATCCACCAATATTCATATTTTCTGTAAGAGAAAATATGAATACATAACTTTTCTCTCTTTTTCATTTTCCTGGAGCTTATGACAAAGCTAAGAAATAATATACTTGGTGAAATGAAATTGAGTTCCCTACAGCTTAAGGTGGAAATTTATCATCACAACCTCATTTCTTTTCATTACAGTAGCAGTAATAATATTGTAATACTCTAGACTGTTACCAACTGTGAATATATTGGGTGTATGCCATTCTAAGCAATGAGCAACAATTTTTAGAGTCCTCTTGAAAGAACTGGTCTTACTTTGTGATGTTACTGTAAGAAGTTCTTTGCACTGTACACACTGTTAGAATAGCTGGATAAGTTTGGACTAAGAAATTCCTTTTGTGCCCCTACTAAATTTTAATAGAATATCAAAACAAATAGATCCTTTCTTCAGGCTGTAGAAGAAGTATCTTGCTTATTTTTCCGTAATGGCATTTGTGACACATGTATTTTGAAAGTACATCTTAAACTAGGCATAGCTCTAATTTTATGCAAACTGAGTGTTTTGCTTAACTAGATATGACTGCCTTGTATGAAGATCACAGTTTCATGCAAAAATTTCTGTGAAAGGAGTTCCAAGTTCCTACAGAAGAATTTAATGCTGATATCTAACAAAAAATGTGCCTCTCTCTAATGTGTGTATGTGTGTGTATATATATAATATATATATATATGTAAAGAAAAAAACCCACAAAACCATGCTGGAGTTGTTCTGATACATACCAATTTACATTTTTATAGTTAAGTGGTAGATAATAGTTGAATATCTAAACTGCAAAAACTAAATGTCAACCATTTCAAGTGCAGTGAATCACTTTCCTACTTTTATGATTTCTCTGTAAAGAGAAGAATCTGTCTGAAGAATTCTGTCTCGAAAATACATAATACTAGGAAGAATATTACACTCTCAAAGTCTGATTCAGTCTTTTGAAGTCACTGTTAGCCCCTGATTTGTAATAGTGGCCACTGAAGCAGAACTGTATGTTTAATAATAGATTATTTGCATTCATGTTTAGAGGTTCTGAGCTTTTGCTATAAAGCTGATAACCTAATGTTTGAGAAAGGTGCTTTAAAACTGTTACAAAACTCTGCCTTTGGTGGTTCAGTGTTTTTCAAGTAAAATTTCTTCAATTTGCCATAGTAAGTAGCAGGAATACAGGAGGGGGGACAGTTTTTTTACTTGAACTGGAAGAATTTCCACAGTGCTTAAGTGGTAATTGGACTAAACTTTGTGCTCTGGTCATGAGGATCAGTTCTGAGAAGATGATTTGAAGTTCCAAGTTAATATTTTTGCATATATATAAAGTACAATACTGAAATAATTTTTGTATAGTCTTTTCTAAAACAGTCACCATTTTTCCTGACACCTGTCAGCAAATCCCCAGTATGATTTGGTTTTGCTCTTTCTTACTCAAAGGCTGACTGAAATGTTGGTCATGAACCTGAGAGACTTTTGTTTTAAGGGAACCATATGGACTGGTATGTTTTTTCCTTCCATTGAAATGCCAGTCTATCTGCGAGTAGTACCAGAAATGGTTGTTATCTCACCTGTCAGCAAGGCAAGGGCTGTGCTAGTATTTTTCTTGTGTTTGTTTTTTAAGCGACTTTTCTAATGCAGTGTTTCAGCTCCCTTGGGTAAGCCTCTCAATTCTCACATGTCATTTTGAAAGAGGAGAAAGCTTTGCTGCTTTGTTCACAGATTGCAAATGCTATTGGAAGGATGAAGGTAAAGAAACTGATTTGGGCATTTATAATTTTTTACACCTTAGTACAACTCTTCTAAAATTTTTTTGTTTGTTTGTTTAACTTTGGATAGTAGCCAGAAAACCTTAGATCAGCTTCCAGCTAGCTCACAAATTTTCTGTTGCTTACTGAAAAAAACAAATATTATTTTCAGAAGTTCAGAATAATGAACCAAACTGTTACAGTTGTCTTGAACATATAATTCAGCAGATGGGTTTTTTTTTTCTCTCATATTCAACTAGAATGACATTGTATTTGTGTATTTCAGTTGGATGTAATTAACAGATTCTGCCTGTATTCCAGTATTCAAAAAAGTTAACAAATCTGTTTTCTTATTGAAATAGTAATGTTTAAATATGGTATCGTAGATATATTTTCTATCTAAATGTACATGTATAGATGTGTATTTAAGTATCATATCCTTTTTGTTTTCAGTTTTTGACCTCTAGTCACTGTAGACACACTCAGAACCACTCTAAGCTTATAGGGAAGGGGTGTTAGTACGTAGGAGGAAGACTGTTACATAAGCATCAAGCTGAAGTCCAGGATCAAACTGTAAAGAACCTTTAAATACTTAGTTGTAGCCAAATTTTAAACAATTCTATTGCAAGGTAAACAGTTTCAGCTTTACTGTTAGAGAGCAGGAATATATCTATTTGAATCAGTTTTTTATTTAAGTCCATGTCTTGCAGCAGATGACTGAATCTTACATAAACTAGGGGAGTGGGGGTTAGTGTACTATATCTGTGCTACTGTTACTCCTACAAAGCCTCAGAACATTCCTTGCTACTGGACTGTAATGGCTTTATGCTAAAGCAGGGGCAGAAGGTGTGACTCCATCTCAAAAAGACACAAACCCCACTGTTTGCAATGAAAAGCTGTATATATCAAAATTATTTTCCCCCTGCATCCAGTAAGTCCTCAAACCTTTCAGGCAATAACTTTTTTAGTTTGCAAGGGAGAGCTGTGTTTCTTGACTCGGTGGGTGTCACACAGGGACACTGTTCTAATTGTTCTCTTTCATCATATTCAGAGCAGCTGTTTCTCACTCTGCCCCAGTTCTCACTGATGAGGTTACTGGGGTTCTTGCGCCCCTCACTCAGTCTGTGTCTTCACTGTGATTGGCCTTTTATCATACAGTCTAATGCTATCTCTTGTTTGTCTAAAGAATAGCATACACTTTCCCGGAGTCATTCCTTCTGTTTCACTTGTGACATTTGAAAGTTTATAATTAGAAAAACATGGTTTTTAAAAGCTTATGATGTTTAGGGATACTCTTTCCATTGCTTCCTCCAGGGTTTACAAGATGCTCTTAAAGTAAAGCAACGAGTACCATAAATGTAACCAGACAGGCAAACAGAATAGTATGTACAAGCTGCAGAAATGTATTTCAGTTAAGTACCAGAAAGCATCTTCAAAATATGATTCAGAAGAACAGAAAATGTTACTGCTCTGTCTAAATACTGAAAAATCATATATATCTATGACTTCTATCTCTTTTCATGGTAATTTAGTTTCTTGATATAAAAATCCTAAGCAGGTTGATATGGCCCAGCATGCCAAGATTTGTATCGTACAGTAAAAGTATGTAATTCAAGGCCTTTTCAAGGCATGTCTTTCTACTGACTTTAATAGGTTTTGCATTTAGGCCTTAATAAAGTAATAAATTACTGTAGCAAATCTCTAAAGAATATTGGTCATGGTTGTATTGTATAATGAAAACAAGTTCAGTGGCATTTTCAGTTTTTAATTGTAGTGTTTGCTTTTATTGAACAGCGTTGGGTTTTGAATGAATATATTAATAGTTTCATGAAAGTTTTTAGAATTTTTTTTATTTACAGTACGGTATTCTTCATTAGACTAGGAAAAAGATAATATGATTTCAAAGAGAGAGTGTAATGTGTTTTGATAGCTTTTTCATGTGTGAATTCAGTAATAGCTTTCTGTAGTTTGTTCCCTTCTGTTGAAGGAAGGGTAGGGATGCTGACCGTGTAAACGTATTGATGGGCACATATTTTATGCATACATTTTTAGTTGAGTCCTTTTGGTGTTAGATTCTCACATGTCATTTTGGGCTTTTCTACGGGATGTACTTTTTTTCATAGTTTGTATTTTGACTTGTATGTCTTCTACTCATAGAACATTATGTTTGTATAATGGTGTGGTAATGTCGTGATACAAAGCAAGTACAGACCAGATGGGTAATATATGAGAAAGTAGTTACATAGCATCGTGTAAATGCCTTATCTGCTTAGCCTCAGAAAAGTTGCATATGGCTTTCAGTACGTTATATATATTCTTAATGCACTTTTTTTATTCCAGTGGGCAAATCTTCTAGCTTAAACCATGAGTAAAAACTATTTTTTGTGAGAACATCAAGAAAAACATATTCCTTATCTCTTGCTCAGAGGAGGGAGATGATCAGAATGAAGGGACTTTCCTCCTCGTGCAGGGGCATGTCCTTCTGTTCCTTTAATTATTGACTATTTATTTTAGCACATAGAGTTGTATTATTGACCATAAATTCTCTTGAAGTTTTGATTCCTAACAAGGTTTTCTATATACATGGAAGCTTTAAATGTCTGGCTTTATAGAGTTATGAGTGATATATCTAGTTGAAAATGGCTCATGGTTTAGCAGACAATATCAGAGATTTATGTACATTCTTATGATTTGTAACTTTTTTTAATCACTGTTATTCATTAAGACTTACCTCAGAGACACACTGCAGCTAAACTCCCACAGAAGTGTGTTCATAAACTTTGTATTGCAACTCAAAATTAAGTATTCTTGCCTGTATAATGTGCAAGAGATTCTGTGACACGTGTATACATGTCCTCCAGGTTGCAGTTGTGCTACCTGAGGAGAATTCACCATGCTCAGCAGCTTTATCAACTACCCACAGTAACTCTCTGCTCAAATCTGCCAGCTCAATTGTTCATATAATCAATTAAAATTACTGATTCATGTTAGCAAAGATTTAGTATTTAGAATTAATCATTATAATTTTCATTGAAATTGGTTTGTCGGGGATTAGAGGAGCTTCTCTTGTCACAAACAGAGAAGGTATAAAAATGGTGACAATTTAGTGGGAAACAGTTATTGAAAATGTGAGACCTGGTTATTTTTTTAATTAAACCACCACATCTGCCTTTGTATTCTGCAACGGATCATGAATTTAGAAACCGTATTTCTAATGTTTTACATTCCATTATGTTCATATAACCAAATTTGACTACTGTCTTCCATCAGGAGCAGCCGTTCTTACATTTTATAGTTTTTGTACTATCATGTGTAAAATCACTTACTCTCATTAGGGATTACAGTTCATTCTTATTAAGGATTCAGCACACCTATGATTGAGTTTCAGAGTTTATCTTAGTTTCTTTGCCATAATATTATGGGGGATTTTGGTTAAGTTTTGGGATCTATCTTTTCTTACTGTAGTTTCCCCAAGAAGGAAATGCAGCCAGTAACTTGTTAACAGGGAGGCATCCAAGTAGGATAATTCCCTCCACCAGCTCCTTGCCCCTCCTCTGCTTTGGGGATGAGGATGTGAACAGCAAGGGCAAGTAGGGCTGTCTCATATGAAGATAACATACCTGGTAGCTCACTCCAAAAGGGTGGAACTTCAGGATGAGTTGGAGTTACACCATAACACTGCTTCCTAGGTCTCCTTGTCTTTACAGCCTATAAAATCTTGCTCCATAAAGAAGGCAAGAATTTTGCCCTTATTCCTGCAAAAATCTTCAGTTAATTGATTCATTAGTACACTTTAAGATAATCTGGTAATAATTACTGAAATCTAGGACCTATCTGGACCTTCCCCCATGCTTCTAGGTAGCATTAGAATAAGATTATGTTCTCGGGTCAACTGCATCAAGCTCTGCACTGATGCATCTGCCATCAAAATTTTTACCTTTACCTCTGGCGCTGTCCAGTGATGTTCTGAAGTTGTTTCTAGATCTCCCAGAGCATCCCATCAAACTTGAGTAGCCTGTGCAGGGATTTTGATGGCTCTTAGTTTTAGGACACTTTGATACTATAAATTAGATAATTTGGCTGTTAGGTGATTTAAAGGATACACCAGTTTGCTATCTTATTGCAGATGGTTTTTTATTATTTTTCAAGGGGTAACACATTTTTGTCGCAGCTGCAAAACTAGAAACCTTGGATAGTTTGTGCAGCTAGTTTATTGCTTAGTGTACCTCTTTCTTGGTCCATTGTTTTTAAGTATACCAGACAACTGTTTGTCCAGTTGCAGGCCCTGGGGCTCACAAGAGTGATATTCCACACTCTGTATTTCCCCTTTTGACTAAGTATTTATAAACTCAACTCATCTGTCCATTGTCAGACTTCATAGAAAGCAAGATAATGGTTCCCAACTGATGTTTTACACTCATGTTTTTTAAAAAAAAGAGCTTGTTTATCAAACTTCCTGTATATCAGGAATCTGTCCTGAGAGTTGCCAGTATCAGATACCTGCCTTCCAGTTTTTAAAAACTTAGAATTGATAGTAGAAGAACAAAATTGCTAAATGTTTTATATTTTGAACGTTTAACTTTTAAACTGTCCAATTTCACTTTTAAAGAGAACTAGTGGAATTAAAACTTTCTCTTCTGTAAATCATGACCGTTAATGTACCGTTAATCATTGTATCATTAAAACCTGTGATGGATCTATGTAATTTTGTAAAGACAAAAGAAAAATAAGGTAGTTGTAAAACTGCTACGGGGTGAAATCCCGGTGCTCCGAGGTTAGCAGCAAGTATCTAGGGCCAGTAGTTTGGCCCAGTGTGACAGAAATTCTCTATTTTAAATACATCACGATGACTGAAGTTAAAAATCAGTGCCTTGCATAACAATACTTGAAAGTGTATCTTTACAGAAATGCTAGAGTACTGATTGAAATAAGGTATTTCACCTTTAGGGTTTGCAGATTTCAGGGGGTTTTAATTCTGTTAGTTCTACTAATTCTGAAACTGGAGTTTTCCTTCTTCATGTTTTTGAATTAAGTTGAAATTAAGGTGCTTTTTGTTCAAACTACTCTTCTTAAGTACTTTAAATATTTTTTCTCAATCCTGTGAACTAGTATAATACTAGTGAAGAAAGTCACATCTGAGCACTTAACACCTTAATAAATGTGTCTATATGGTTTAAGGGTAAACACGATTTTTTTTCTTCCTTGAGAGCTTCAATGTTGCTTTTGTGGACATTGAAATATTTTTGTCTGCTCTTCGAGATACTAAACCTCTGTTTTTCCATTACATGCGGTGCAAAGCCTTTCAAATATCTGAACATTTTAAAGATGTGGTTTATAGTTGTTACTACAAAATATGTGAAGAATTAAAACTAGAGGCACTTAATCTACAGCTAATGTAGGTTGTGTAAATTCTTCACATACAGAATTGCCTAATAATGTTCTTAACAGTATTTGTGGTTTATGATCTTTTTAAATAAAAGGTAAATATCCTGTAATATTATGAGAACAAATAAATACACTGTAGAAGAAATGTCAGCCTTGGATATCAATTCAACAAATAAACAGTGATTAAAGAATGTACTATTTCTCCTGTGAGACCTCTTTCTCCTTTTAAAGCTTTTTCATGGAAAAATAAACATTAAAAAATTTATCTTTTCTTTCAAGGCTGGGTTTGTCTGTCAATCTTTACATCAACATAGATGTGGAAGTTATGAAATGCGTCTGATGTTAAGGGTTACAGCTTGATTAAAATCCTTTAATTAACAAATACTATTCATTTCACACTGTCTTTTCCCCCATGGCTCTGCAGTTGGGGGTGTCAGCCAGCCATGCAGTGCCCTGAGGGTTGGTAACACACTGTGCCGCCGTGAGGACCCCACAGTTTGTGTTACACAGTGGTTTGGAAACAAGAGATCTGGTTTTATTCTGTTTCTGCACATAAGAGAGATGAGAAATGGTGTGCTGCATGAGTCACAGCCTGACTGGTTTGTAGCCTTCAGTTTATTGCAGAGATCCCAGACAAGCTCAGCTGCTGGAACAGATCTCTCTGCATTGAGCTCTGCTTTGAAGCACTGTTGGCCATATTACTGTGGCTAAACTGTGACACAGGTTGCAGTATGCAGGTGCCTGTTTAATAATTATGGTTGAACCATATTTTAACAGCAACTTCTAAAAATATATAATTGTTTTGCTATAATTGTTTTACTTGGGTAACAGTTTTGCAGCTTTGACTAAGAACATATGGATACAGAGTACTAATAGAGGCTTCTGGTGTGCACCAATGCAACTGAGGGCCGATACCAATGTACCAACGAAGATAATCCCTTATTTATGCTGCTCATCCCGTTTTTATTGATACAGTGATTTATCATTAATGGATGCATCATATGCCAAAAATTCTGACATATTTACTACAGGTGACCCTCAGCAGTACTAGTGTAGCTATGTTGGGTTTTGCCCCTCCCTTGCTAAACGTTATTCCTCATGTTACTCATCTATTCAAATATTTAAAACATTTATACATACCACTTATAGAACTCATCTCTCTGATTTCCATCCAGATTAAATACAGTCAGCTTAGCCTGATGCAGTAAGTCTGAATTTGACAAACATTCAAACAGATCTATTTGCAATTCGTATGTTTTGTTACAAAGTGCATCTAAAGCTTCTGCCAAGGCTCGCTCAGCTAGCGTAGGCAAGGTCGGGTGATCTCAGCATCTTAGTGAGCATTTGCCTTGGATCATAAAGCCAGTAGTTTACTTGCCTTCAGTCGTCATCTCTGAAATGACACCTCCACCCCTTACTTTTATCTAAGTATTCTTAAAACAACAGGCCTGTGTGTACACGGACTTGTACATTCTGTGCACAAACCTACAGGTGTCTGTGTGCGTAATGGCAGTTGTGTGTCTGAGCTGGACTTGTGCGTTTTGCCAGAAGCCAGGAAGGCACTCACTGCTGAGGAGAGCTTTCTGTGGTTGCGAAGTCACTGCTCTAGGAAACAATTAATTAGGTTGTTTCCAAAAGCAAGGGAAAGGAGCCTTTCATTTTAAATTCACTAATGGGACCAAGATATTTTCTTGTTCTTGCAAGGGATTCTGCAATCTCCTGCCAAGAGGAACTTCTCTGGAGATTGGGTAGACAGGGCTTTAAAAGGCTTCTCCCTGCCTTGTCCTTCCCATCTGAAGTAGTTTCCTGTGGCTGTTGAAAATCGTGACCCTGTTGCCTCATCTGAATTTTATCTTTTCTGCCTGGTCACCCTGGTACTTGATACACGCAATCCCACCAGCAACAATGATACCTGATGGCTATTTTATTTGCCGCTGCATGTAGCAAAATTCTATCTTCACTGTAACTGGGCTTTCTAGAGTCAGTTTGTTCTCCTTTGCCCTATTCCTTGAGCACAGAAATCAAAGCAGAGGTGAGGATTTCAGCCTTCAAGTGCAAAAGAATAGCTTTCTAAAGTACTGCTACAGCAGCACATGTTTCTTTCTTTTTTTGGAAAAGCATTAGCAAGTTGTAACCCTTAGTTAAATCTCTCCATATTTTTCCTATCTCAGGCATTCCCTTAAGCAGAGTATGTGGGCTTAGCAGTGCTCAGAGCTCCTAACAACAGGCTGTAAATAGTGGGTATATTTTCCAAACACTGAAGAGAGTTGCAGTATTAAGAAGTAGTTAGATATTAATGACAAGGTCGCTTCAGTTAAACCAGATATTTAGTCAAATTTACCCCTGTGCTGTACATTGACTTGTGAATTCCATCCACCCCATAGCTCTTGCAATTATTGTCCTTGAGAACTGGAAAGTTGTTCTAACACCATCTTAATTTACTAATGAGGAGACAGCACATCAGGTTTAATTTCTTTATACAGCAAGGCTTGGGAAAGCACATCACTTCCTAGCGAAGGTCTGAACCCTGCATCTGAGCTGACAGTGTGTAAGCAGGGTGTGTTTTAAGCAGAGTCAGGAGCTTAATGGTCAGCAGCAAGTGTAAGCAGTTGTTACCTCAAGGTCTCTGCACCTTTCCTCCCTCTCCTTATGCACACTGACACGCTCGTGACTTGACTAAAGCTGTGATGTTTTCCAAGTTGTTATCTGGGGTTGATACTAAAATAAAGAGATCACTAACAAAGAGAGATGTAACTGTTTTTCAAAATCTTCAGCAAATGGAATCACAGGAGAATATAAAATTGAAATGCACCGAGCAGTGCGTAGGAGCATCAGTGCCTAAATGGCAGTTAAATCCAAGGAAATTTGCTGGGGGCTACTGAGAAACCTGTCATTTAAATTTTTCTTTATGCAGTTGAGTGAAGAAGATGGATTTAATTAGCATTTTTGCTGTGCTCTTAGCAGTTGAAGTGCTATAAAGTGCTGTTGTTACCGCAGACTCAAATCAAAGGAGGTACATGTGGCAGAACTTCTTAGACCATATGAGGAAAGTGCAGAGGAAGTACTGGGACGCTGAGAAATGGAGTCCCTAGTAAAGAGTGACAAAATTTGCCTCACAAATTCACTGGTAAGTGTCAAATAAAACATTTACTGAATCATAACAGGATTAGTTATGAATTTAAACTAGCAGGGGATTAAAATTTTTTATTTACTTGAGGATGCTGAATAGAATGATTGTCTTTACAGTAGGCTAAAATTCCATGGAAGTGCATAAAATACAGAAAAAATACAGAACTTTACCAAGAGAAGTGAGGGAGGATGGATGGTATATTTTATATAGAAGTGTAAGCATGTTTTTTCTAATAGCATATATATTTTTAAATGTTAGTAGATGGAGAGTCTTAGCAACTTTGTGACCTGCTTCTGGTCTATCTAAATGCATTCCTTATAATCACAAGATTATATATTTTTCTTACCCACTTGGTACAGGGTCTCTCCTGCTTTCACATACTGTGGTACCTAATCACCGTGATGCTCTCGGGACTCCGCATATCCCAGTTCTGGTCTTGACACTAGGAGAGACTCCGTTATTGTAGGCATCTGACAGCAGACATGCTTATGTTTTCCAAGAACAGTCTAGCTCAGATGAACCTGTCAGAGTAGTTGTTTTCCACCTTCTAACATGCAGAAAGCTTGTGGAGTACCTCATATAGCGACAAGCAAAAAATAATCAGGATTCTTTTGGATTTAATCACAGTCTTGAAGAAAAGTTATATTTAGGATTAAAGTGGTCCCAGGAAAGAACTAATCTGCTCTTTGCAAAAAATCCTAACAGGTTTATGTTTTCAGCCTAGAAAAATTGTATGTTTTAAACTCAGAAATGTGTACAGTCAAGTAAGAAAATTTTCAGGAAAAGAGATCAGAAACAATTCTGACCTGCCAACTTAACAGTATGAGGACTATTGTAAGGAGTGATATATCCTATCCATTTTTTTGTCAGCCAAGGAAATTAGTGAGGAAAATCAACTAGGATTATGTTCCAGTGCATCACTTTAATAGTACATCTCAGCATTAAAGGCTGCTGAATTCTCCTCGATTTGGGAAAAGGCTCAGATTCAGTTTGACCCTGATATAAACCATGGGAAGGATGAACCCTTAGGTGGAATAAATTTTCCTGCTTCTAACTGGACAGTGGAGTTTATACATTTCTCTCAGACAGCAAATAGATGCATTTATCCCTACGTTACTACACTCCTCTAGTTAACCTCTGCTGAGTTTCTTCATGACTATCACACAATCCTTTTCACTCTACCTGCACCTCTCTAATTAGCTCTCCCAAGGCTTGCAGCCCGTTGACTGTCTGCTTCTAGCTCTTTTCACTCTCAAACGTAATTTAGTTTCTCTTATATTGAAAAAAATATTCCTAACATGTACATCCCTTTCCCTTTTTACACTCATGAAATGTACTATTAGCAGGAGCTCCTTCTTCCTCTATTTCACTTCTGTATTACATCCCACTAATCTGGCTGTCCCCATGCTGACCACTGAAATTGCTCTCAGCAAGGTTTCTAGTGATCTATTGCTAGCAAAATATCTTCAATCTTCTTGGCCTGACAGTTGCCTTCAACATATACAACCAGTCTTTTTAAATTTTCACTTTGTTTGCTTCTTTACTTCCCTTTATTCCAGCTCTCTGCGTACTTTGGAAACTGTTCTTCATCCTGTCCTTCGCTGAATAGTCCTTGTCATCCCCATCTCCAGCTTCTGGTGGGAATTCCCCTGGACTGCCACTCTTCCTTCCCTCTTCTCATTGCACTTTGTCTCCTGATAGCACAGAGTTCAGCAACCACTTGTGCTGAGGAGTCAGAGTCCAACCGCTCTCCTCCAGAACATTCTCTTATCAGACTTAAGTCTCATACTTTATCTTCCTTTGACTTTATAAAATTTAATATAGCTGAAAACTCCTAATCCTCTCTTCACTATTCCTTCGTGTTACTCTTTTCCTTTAACAAGCAAACCTGCTGATTACAGACAAGCCTTAGAACTTCAGTATTTGTTCAGATTTCAGCATCTGACTAGGCCCTTGGATTTGGACAGTATCTGAATTTTTGCAGATCTTCTTTTCCATCTTTTGCCTTCTCTCTCTAGTCTGAATGTTTGTTACAACATGCTGAGTTAGTTAACAGAATCTTGTCCTGCTTTTACCTATCCAAAATGCGACTTTGTCAAGTGCTGGATTTTGTAGACCAAAGGGTGATGACAGAA